TCTTTTGAAATGGACTAAAAATGAAGATATAAGTGAAAGATTAAAAAATGTGGGTAGGAAAATGTTTATAGCTTAAATTCTTTGTTTCCAATCTTATGTTTCTACCATGAATCCTTTATACATTATTTCTCACTTCATATTTACCCTTCTCTTTTTTTGTTTACATTATAACTGTGAAGCCTACCAAAGAATTTATCATCACTTGCAATTCAACAACATACGTGTATGTTACCTAAAACAATTTGTAGAACCAAAAAAAAAGATTTCGACTTTTCAAATTTTATTATATTGTTGCTTCTGTGTTACTCCAAATATTTATATATGCATCAAACAAATTTTCCTGAGATCAGAAAATCTCTTCCAAATAATACTTTTTTTTTTTTGCTACAACAACAATTTCATTCTCCGTAGTGTTAAGTTTTAAGAAAACTACGCTCAAAACTAACGATGAATTTGGGTCCTTATTTTTGATAATTCTTGTCATCTTCGATAAGTATTTGCCGAGAATACCAAAGGGTGTCAAATGTTCGTATTCAGTGTGTAACTTATAACTGTGTCGATTGATTACACTTCGCCGTGTTCGGAATTCCACCTGTTCCCTTTTCCTGCTTCGATTGAAATCGATGTGATGTGATTCAGATTGGATTATAGCACCGACTATCTTCTGTTTTCCATCCATTAATTTTTGCAGCTTTTGCATATGTGAAACTGTACGAGGAGAAGAATGTTAATTAAATTGCTTCAATTAAACATCAATTTAAGTAATAACTACCTATACTATGCATCCAATACAAGTATTTCTATTGATTTTTAAATATTGAAGTGATTATATCTTCCATCAGAAGTGTGAACAGTTGCACTAATAGTTGACGTAAGTGTGTTTTAAGACGTGAAACGATACTTCTTGTAGGATCCATCTGTTTCGGTTTTGCATCAATGGCTCGGACTACACATCTTGCCTGTTCGTAAATGTCCTGAGCGGCTTGTGAACACTTTTGCACTCGATTCCGTTCATATTCGTTTAATTTGCTTAGGCTGAAGTAAACATTTTTCTGCTAAAGAATGTTAATTTCAAAATGAAAATAATATTTGGATGTGACATCGAGATCAACAACTGAGTTTTATATTTCTTTTTGTGCTCCTCCTGTCTCTTTTTTCCGTTCAGAGAGAATTTCCTGATCTACAAAAAGCCAATTTATGTTTAAATTCATGCATGTCACACATGAGAGTACAGATGACAAGAACGAACTAACCGTTGGGTGGCAATACAAGCCATCATACTGCTTATTCCCTGATGAATCCATCGTTCAATGAGTTCAACTGCAGCCTCTTTTGAAATTGGAATATTTAACTTTTTACCATCATAATATTGTGCACCTGGCATTGTTTCTCGCGTGTATTGGATAGAACTTGAAACCGGTCCAACGATGATGCCTTAATAGGTGGATGGATGAAGTAGGTACACGGCTATCATCATAATAACGTATGTCATCAGAATACATGTCGCAAATCTTGTGAAGAGTTCAAGCGAACTTCAACTTACAAGCTATCCATATCGCAAGCAGTGTCGCACTCTGATATTGGTAATTTCTCATTGAGCAATATGTGAAAAATTGTTATTCCAAGAGACAGTGACCTGGAAAATTAAGCAGTTTATCCGTTTGATACCTTCTGCTAAAAACTGTAATTCGCAAGCATTCGTAAATGATTTGCTTTACAATCGCTTAAGTGGAAGCTTAGAATGCAACAGTAATCAGAATCTCCAACTAAATCAACGAATAGTGGGGTGATTAGTCGAATGGGTGGATAGATAGATAGATAAAAATAAAGAAAGAGATAAGAGTAAAATACTTGAAAGAAATAGAAAACAAAATTGTGGTGATGCATACTCGGGTCTAAGTAACTTTATGCATAAAGACATACAATATGTTGAATTCAGCAAAGTATTGCCTCCATCACACTATTCGGAGTTTCTCAAAAGGAATAACTTCGTTCATCCTAATTCTTTCATAAAGAAGGAACTCGAAAGAAGTGTAATACTATTTGATTGAGTAGCATCAACAAGATGATTCCTTATCTATAACTTGGAAAATGGAACGCCTTTATTTAATTATGTTTTCTTTTTTTTTTTTTTTTTTTTTCGCGTATCTTGAATATCTTTGTAGTTAATGATATCCGCCATGTGTTTTGACACCGATGATAGATCTGGCAATATTATTTTTGGCAACAAGTGTTGTAATAGTTTGGTTAATCGACGTTTTATTGTGATTTCAATTCTCTTGTGAAAATGGCTCATTTGAAACGAGTTAATTGTTGACTGTTTCTTAATCACATATTTTTGCAAATTTAACGAATCAATTACTGAGACTTCTTTAAGCTCATGAAATAAGAATTATTAGCAAGGTATTGCATTAAAAAGAAAAATTGTACTTAAATCAGGAATGCAATTGGAAGCGCAAAAAGAAGGTTCATATTTTTGATTGACTGACTATTGCATCTGTTGTATTTTATTGACTATAATAAATCTTTGTAAATGGAACTTTAGGCTAAATGTGGTGAGTTCTTCTAGTTTGAGAAATAACATTCAATGGTTAAGATGTTTTGGTTGTCTTTGTTTACTGAACACTTTTTGTTTTGCAAATAATTTTCACAAAATGGTTCAAAAAAAAAAAAAAAAAAAGAAAAACTTTATTGTAAACTAATTACTATTATATATGGAATTAAGATCATTCGCTGATAAAACTTTTATGACTTTGTGACCTTTGCTACAAAAAGCTCACTTAGATTTGGTTCAATTCAATGCTACAATTTATAACCCTTACCAAATTTCTATCCAATTTTCTCGAAGAAGCTCAGTATAATGATCGATCAGTCTAGCGGCTCAAATATTTTCCAATAATTATTAGTCAACAAAATCTTTATGACAAATATTCGTTAGTGACAATAAAGACCACAAACAAAACATTCACGAAAATTGTTAGTTGTGCATTAAGATAGAGTAAAGATTTTGCGTATTGATGTTTTTTTTTTTATGTGATATTTGTGTGCTATGCTATATCGCTTAGTCTCGTGAACGAACATTTATGAAGGAATTTACCCAGATTTGTTGTCAACCCGTTAGGCTAAAAGAACCAGTGAATAATAAGGAGTGATCCTTGATATGTTCACTTCAAGAGGTAGCTGCATTCTCGAAGACGGTGCAGCACTCTATGCTTTTTTGATTGGAAACCGGAGTGAATCACTAACGATGATTCAGGAAATTTTTGAACCTTGTTTTTGAGGCACATCTATTGTAGCCAATGGCGAATTTATCACAGAGAAAATGTTGGAAAAATAACTTGCCCAAATAGCTGTATCTAACTAGCGTGACCTCAATACTACTAATCCTTGATTATTCGAAGACGATCATACGCCATGCGTTCAGGGTAGTGGAAATTTAGAATGATTCGAAGGCAACACTGATGGTGTCATTCAAGGAGAGATCGCAGATGGTGACAGTAGATGACCTATGTTTCAGATCCGTACAAAAGAGTAAATACCGACACTAATCTTAGTATTTTTCTTCAGGTGTTTATTGTTCCACATTCAAAATTGAAAAAGAGAAATTGGAAATAGATTATTAATGGTATACGTATGCTCTGCGTGTTTTTGTTAGGCCTTTGTCAAAATATCTTCCAATCTAGCGTCCGAGGAAATAGTGTTATGTAGGTAAGTAAACTGATATGCTGATAATAATTTGCGTGCAGTGATGCCAAGGATGGGTGTCGCCTGCAAGGAGAAGTTTTCGATGAGGTGACGACTGAGTTATGGGTTATGTGTTTTCAATTGCCTGGAATTGCATAGATTTCCGTCAATAAGATATCGAATTATAAGTACGAATTATAGTTTAATTATATGTATTAATTATATATATGAATTGTAAGTTTTCTTCATCAAAATTTGCCGTGATTCTTTGGAACATTGTGTTGAAGAATATTATGAGCAAAGTCTGGTGTGAGAACTTTGATTATGGAAAGTTTGTGAAACAGGGTAATTGTTTTGAGGAATTGAAAGTGACAATCTAATCATTACAAGATTTGTCATAAGTTCTTTCTGCTCATGGTGTCAAATACTTTGATATGTTAATTGATATGTTATTACATTATTCTTGCATTTACTGAAAACAAATACCACATCTAAATGCTTTTATTAATTTTAATGACTATTTCATGCTAAATTCCATAAATTTATTGTGAACTGTGCGAACAAAGCGGATTTCTATCGGATCTCATCATCACACGATAATTACATCTCGAAGATCGGAGATAGCTTGTGGAATTTAACATAGGCTGTTTATTCTCCGTACTTCCAGATTTTAATATGGAATTCTATCCAAACTCAGATACTGTTTCCAGATTCTAACTGCTGTATGACCTTGAGAGCTACATCAAGTTCAGTTTTCCTAACTGCTGCTGAGTGATGTGTTGAATTGCTGGACGATAAGCATTGAAGAGTACTTAAGATCATTTATCAGATGAGTTCAGATCATCGGATGAGAATAGTGGGTTTATCGATAAGAAGGGAGTGCCATCTGTATTGTTCATGCAATGCTTTCAAAGTGTCGTAGTGATATGATAACCGAAATCTGTATCTTTTATGCTAGATAGCTATCATTTGTTCTTTACATCATAAAATTTCTTTTAAAACTTACTACAATGCAAGATAAAAAGATGATTTTCTTGCAAGACAAAATAGGTGAGAGAGATGTGCTCGGGTGGCAAATTCTCCTCTTAGATAGTTGTTTTAAAAGACAATTCTCTTCTTGAATAGCTGTTCCTAAATCTGTAAATTGTTTGTTCGACTTAAAGAAATGCTGGATGCTATCTTTAATTAGTTATAGGAAGGAAATCCGTAAGGTGTCTGTAAGTGTAGTTCGAGGACAGCTCTTTTTATAAAAATTTCAAGGTTATTGGTTTCAAGCGTTTTTCATGATATTTTGCCATTTTTAGATTTGGCGGAAAATGGAAGTTGAGCTTATGTTGCACAAGACGGTAATTTATTTGACATTTGGCATTATTATCACTCGAGTGGAAGTGCATCTTTGCTGCACTAAAATGGTATCAATGTTTGGATGAGGTATCAATGTTTGGATCAAGAAATCATCATCCAAATTTCCAAGTCGTTTTAAATTTTTCTGCTGAAAGATGGTTTTTTTTTTTTTTTTTTTTATGTTCGTAAGTTGCTGTTCCGCATAAAACTCTAGCAAGAGATTACAATTTTTGTTGCAGTACCAAAGTCTTTTACCTATTTTGACTTTCTTTCAGGATTCAGAATTCTTTCCTACACTGAAATCATCAAGAATTATAATTTTATCATCCAGAAATCGGATAAGATGGCGAAAGTTGGTGTAGAACTTGGTTTTTCTGTGGAATCAGCTTGAAGAGTTGAAGCATACATGCTGAGAGGAACAACATGTCATTTACGGTATAGTGGAAAATTTAGAAGATAATTAGAAGATCTATCGACAAATTAATAAATTTGGAGGCAATTGAATTCATGATCGTGAAACCAGCTGTTGACTAGAAATGTTCAGTTTTGAGTTTATCTGACTTTTTTTCTTGACACTTATTTTTTTCGATGGGGATGCATTTCACGAAAGTTAGTAATGTTAATGTTGAATCCTGACTCTAGGTAATTAATGAAAGTTGTTATTTGTATTTTAGTGTTACTTGCATTGTGATGATATTCCAATATGCACAAGTTATTTAGGGCTATTGAAAAAGGCAACTTGGTCATTCAATATGCTGCCGAACAAGGCTGTAATCTTCAAGGCCAATCCCGAGTGACTAAAGTCCTGAATTATCTGTAAGCAAAGTCAGGTTTGCAATTTTTACTGCACCTTCTGCTATTTTGTTCCTCACCCATCCACAGTGCTTTATGAAACGGGATGTATACTTCGAGCCTACGCAAAGGCTTTTGAAGATGAATTGCAAAGTATGCGAAACTGATTCAAACTTAGATTTCAACTGTCAGGTTTAGCAAGCTTAGGAGACAGTTGTAAGGAAGTTCTCAGTTTAGAGTACTTCTGTAAACGGACAACTCTGAAAGCCCAACGGGCTCCATCTACTCAAATTTGAGATCAGAGTTGTTCTTCTCTTAAGCTAATTATCATAAAGCTAATGACGGGTCTATCTCTACTCATGACATATTTTTTATAATCTTTCAGTTGAGACTTATCTGGCTTAGACATATGGTATTGCTAGCATAGCTCGTAACTTCACAATGGCACTAAATTCTTCTCCCATGATCATTTAATCGAATATAAAATGTTATATTTTATTCATTTTCATTTGACTCATCCTTTTTTCATTAAGTTTATAAGAAGAACAACTCTGATCTCAAGAAAACAAGTAAATAAATAAATGCATAATGTATATATTATAAATAGATATGATATATATGTATATAAACTACTTTTTAATTTTTTTATTTTTCTAACCAATTAATTTATTCAGTTACTTACTTATTCAGTATTTATGTATGTACCATCCATTATCATGATACATCAGGAAGTTATAGAATTTGTCATAGATAAAAAGCGGCTTGAAATAAAATCAAGATTAATAAATGAAGGTCAGAATTAATAAAATCTATCTTCAAACAAGCATATTCCATTACAGTTATATTTTTCAAAGCATCAAATATCAAAACTTCAAAATGAATAAACTTTGTCAGATGATACTTATCATACAGCTTTACAATTGAATGTCAAGAATTATTCCATAATTTTATCGACTGCAACCAGAAAGTCACAGATTACTTTCTAGCGTGTCACGTGTCGTTCACACTTCATTCATACTCATGAATAAAAAAAAAAAAAAAAAAAAAAAAAAACTAAAAAGAAATTTTCGATATCTATTAGCAATGCTAAACAACTGGTAGAATTAGTGAACCGTCGTTAATTTTACGGTTATCATTCTAGCAGCTAAATTGTGCTAATAAAAACAATACATATAATTTTATGGCAGCAAATATACATTGTAGAACAAAACAATAAAAAGTCTATTCATTTTAAAATTAATAATTTCAGATTGCCGAAAGACATTCAGAGCTATTGGGAACATATATTAACTTCCTATACTAGGTGAAAACAGCACCGTGACACCCCTACCGGTCGAATTGAATGAGGGTGAGAAAGCGCTCGGTGAAAAAATAACAAGAGCAATATAAGATGGAGAAAAGAAAGACGGTGAAAGGGCAAATGGACTTCCGACCAAACCGCCAAGTGCAGATGGTGAAAAGACGGATGGGTTTAGGGCAAAAGGACTCAAAATAGCTGGTGAAAGTACAGACGGTGATACAATACCTGGTGATAATGCGTTCGGAGATAAGATAGATGGTGCTAGTGCAGCAGGACTTAAGATACCTGGATTAAGGGAAAATGGTGACAGGATAAGAGCAGAAAATGCTACTGGTGACAAGACCGCAGGACTGAGTACACTTGGAGATAAGATTGTGGCAAGGAACGCACCTGGACTTAATATAGAAGGACCTAGAACTGATGGAGAAAAAATTGTTAGTGCAAATGCTGCAGGTGACAGGACGGATGGTGCTCCGCCTGGATTGAGGATATTAGTGACGAAGGCTGCAGGAGCAAGTACGTTTTGTCGTTTTCGACGTATTTTCAAAGAAGAATGCATCTTTGCCATATCACGGATATCACTAAGAATGTGACGGTGCATGTCATCTTCACTTAGTGACATGAAGAAATCCAACGCTTTGCTGTTGTTTAAAGGTGACTTTGGGCCATAGAACATTGTCAGTTGCTTTGGAGTCATCATCGAGAATCCGGTTGTATTGAAGTCCATTAACTGTAGTATTTATATTATTGATTGAGGTGATCAAAGAATTTTCTTGAATTAAGAATGTTGATAATTTTCATTCATCGGTAACTCATGCCGGTAATGATCTCGAAATCTTTGAATCTATTCCAAAGGATCTATTACGAAGAAAACAATCCAACCTGTTTTGGCGTAAGTGAATGTGTCAAATTTTCGAAAAGTTCCACTTTCCTAGCCAATTCAGGATCAAATTCTGTCACGTTTTCCTTCGTAAAAAACATCGGTTGACCATCTATTCCACGTGGCATTGATTTATAACCGGGTGGTAGCCAATCTAATTCATCTTTTTCCTAAATGTTTTTCTGAAAATTATTAACTCAGACTGAATGCTTAATTGAAAACGAGGTATCATAATGTTCATGATACCTGAAGACTTCTGATAAATCAGACCTTCAATTTATGAATTGCATCAGTTGTACCGGATGCTTCTATAATGAAGTTTAGCCATTCCTCGTAATCCTTATTACCGGCAACTTTCAGCAATTCCGGAATGCTGGTTAATGCTTCTAAGCCTTTGCCTTTATCATGCATGCTGAACAGCGATGGAGATAAGATGCTAATCTGAAAGGAAAATTTTTTATTTTGCTCCAAATAGCAAAGTGAATAATCAGGTCGCTGATAAGAAAGAACTTCAAACGGTTAACAGTGCAAAAAGAGAACAGTTCAAAACATCCGGAATAATTCAATGTTCAGCAAGCATACCTGATCATTAACATTGTCAGGTACCAATGATAACAGACGCGGTGAACCAAATCTGAGTGTCTTATTTTCTAATTTGGTACCGTTGGCACCATTAAGAACCATCGCAAGTTTAACTGCTCGTTGAAAGAGTCGAACAATTTCCAAAGTTTTTTTTGTTTTCACATTGTTTTTATCCAAACCTTGCAGAAGATGTTTCGATATATGTAATTCTTTCGCTAAGAGTTTTTCTTCCTGAGAGAATAGAATTAAATAAAATTAAAAGTTTTACATTTCGAGATTGAACCATTCTGTTTTGTATCATGACTATGTATTGAAGTAGGAGTCGAGTAAGGATACTCAATTTATTTATCAAAATTATTCAATTCAATCCGACAATTTGCTTAAAAGTGCTCACTGGTGTTAGTTTAGGTTCCGCATTTTTGAAACTGAATGGAAATCGTTTCTGTAATTGCTCAGCGAAATCTTTTTTTTCTTGTTCTCGTCGTTTTAAACTTTCGATTTCATACATCGTTTTCTTCCATCTAAATTAGTGTTCTTTTGATATGGAACTAGAAATGATTTTACATTACTTAGTTCATTTCATTCTCATTTGAAACATTTCATTTTTCATAGTCATAGTAATAAGTTCTAAGAAAATTACTGCAAAACTCAAAACTAACGATGAATTTGGGTCCTTATTTTTGATAATTCTTGTCATCTTCGATAAGTATTTGCCGAGAATACCAAAAGGTGTCAAATGTTCGTATTCAGTGTGTAACTTATAACTGTGTCGATTGATTACACTTCGCCGTGTTCGGAATTCCACCTGTTCCCTTTTCCTGCTTCGATTGAAATCGATGTGATGTGATTCAGATTGGATTATAGCACCGACTATCTTCTGTTTTCCATCCATTAATTTTTGCAGCTTTTGCATATGTGAAACTGTACGAGGAGAAGAATGTTAATTAAATTGCTTCAATTAAACATCAATTTAAGTAATAACTACCTATACTATGCATCCAATACAAGTATTTCTATTGATTTTTAAATATTGAAGTGATTATATCTTCCATCAGAAGTGTGAACAGTTGCACTAATAGTTGACGTAAGTGTGTTTTAAGACGTGAAACGATACTTCTTGTAGGATCCATCTGTTTCGGTTTTGCATCAATGGCTCGGACTACACATCTTGCCTGTTCGTAAATGTCCTGAGCGGCTTGTGAACACTTTTGCACTCGATTCCGTTCATATTCGTTTAATTTGCTTAGGCTGAAGTAAACATTTTTCTGCTAAAGAATGTTAATTTCAAAATGAAAATAATATTTGGATGTGACATCGAGATCAACAACTGAGTTTTATATTTCTTTTTGTGCTCCTCCTGTCTCTTTTTTCCGTTCAGAGAGAATTTCCTGATCTACAAAAAGCCAATTTATGTTTAAATTCATGCATGTCACACATGAGAGTACAGATGACAAGAACGAACTAACCGTTGGGTGGCAATACAAGCCATCATACTGCTTATTCCCTGATGAATCCATCGTTCAATGAGTTCAACTGCAGCCTCTTTTGAAATTGGAATATTTAACTTTTTACCATCATAATATTGTGCACCTGGCATTGTTTCTCGCGTGTATTGGATAGAACTTGAAACCGGTCCAACGATGATGCCTTAATAGGTGGATGGATGAAGTAGGTACACGGCTATCATCATAATAACGTATGTCATCAGAATACATGTCGCAAATCTTGTGAAGAGTTCAAGCGAACTTCAACTTACAAGCTATCCATGTCGCAAATCTTATGAAGAGTTCAAGCGAACTTCAACTTACAAGCTATCCATGTCGCAAATCTTATAAAGAGTTCAAGCGAACTTCAACTTACAAGCTATCCATGTCGCAAATCTTATGAAGAGTTCAAGCGAACTTCAACTTACAAGCTATCCATGTCGCAAATCTTATGAAGAGTTCAAGCGAACTTCAACTTACAAGCTATCCATATCGCAAGCAGTGTCGCACTCTGATATTGGTAATTTCTCATTGAGCAATATGTGAAAAAATGCGACTACAAGAGGCAACACCCTGAAAAATTGAGCAATTTACCTATTTGGCACTTTCTACTAAGAGCTGAAATTTAAGATTCTGAAAGCTTAATTTTATAATAGGTTTGTAGAAATGGCTGATTTTTTTGAAAAGGAACATATTATTTCAAAAAGCTTTCTGGAATTGTAAGCTTGGAAAAGTACAACTGTTGCAGTCGATAATCTGCAATTACTCATTCCTTAATATCAAACAAATTTTTGTATTGCAAATGTTTCATTACTTTGACCCAAGTTTTTTTTTTGATTACTTTATTTGAAAATTTCTTTTTTTACTGAATAGGTTTGAATGAGTCACCAATTTGAGGATATTTTCAAATGCCTTTTTGCATAAATCGACATTAAAATACATTAAAAGAAATATGAAAAATTAGCCATTATTTCTAAAGTTCACCAAACGTTTATCATTATTACCACAAACATATCATATTATTTGATCCATGAAGATATGTTTCCAGTAAAATTTTGAACAGTAATTTTTGAATAGCAGAAGGATGACTGATTTGTAATCAGGTCGTAATTGGTTTTTAAATGGACAACAGTAAACTCGTCTTTTTCTTAACCTTTTTTGAAAAAAGAAAAATTTTTTTTTTCTTTTAAAATTATTTTATTAACAATAAACGTTTCATTAATACTTTCCAAAAAAAGAAAAATTTTTTTTCTAATAACATATCATTTGACTGTCACTTCATGTTACAATTTTGAATTACAATTGGGACAGTAATGAAAAAATGGCATCTATTTGTGATTAAATTACAAAAAAAAAAAAATTAGTTCAAGTATTTTAATAATGTACTGTAATTTATCTGATCTCTTATTTTCATTTTTAGGTAATTTTGCATTAAAAGATCAAATAAAACAATTGCACCCAAAAACAATTAACATTTTTTTATTTTCTTCTCTTTGAATAAATCAATTTTTCAACTATGACAAATGTTGCGTTAATTTTCAGTTTTGTTTATTTATTATTTGGTACATGTTTGAACAGTCAACTTCCCCCTGTATCTGTTATCGGGCAGACAACTTTCAATTTTTTAAAAATTTCAAACTGATACAGATTCTGAGAACTTTCTCATACTACTAATATCCTTTCAGTTGTGAATGTCCTTATTATAGCCATATTTTCTTGCGGCTTAAATTCAGCTCTTAAATTCAGCTTTTAAGCCTATTATCGAATTCAGCTCCATACTTGCTACTATCTAATTAATTTATATCCTCGTCCTTTACTTTTAGCCATCTCCTCATTCCTTTTTCTCTCTCTCTCTCTCTCTCTCCTTTTGTCACTCTGTTCCATTTCTCCTTTCTCCTTATGCTAAAATTCAGTGGTGACTTAAATTCACTTAAATTCTTATCTAGCATTTTAATTTTCCGTTCAATCGCATTATTGAACTTAAAAGAATGCAGAAATGTTGTTCGTTGAGTTTAACCTTTCACCCTCAATTCCGATGATAAAAACTTTAGATGATGAGCAGATCATGGTGACAACATGTGAAGACAAGCTTTAATGTATATTTTAACTTAGAAGAATGGAAGAAAGAATTAAAGTTTATTTGTAAGAAATTTGACTGAAAAAAAAAAAAAAAAAACAATCAGTCTATAAAAGCAAATTTTTCTTTAAATTGATAAAAGTTTGGATAACACAACAAATTTCAAAAAAAAGTATTTCAGTTGCAAAGAATCAGTAAGACAAAAGGTTCACTTTACAGCTAAAAATTTGTAGAAACATTCCGCAGACAAATAAAATGAACCATTTTTGAAATTGAAATTTTGCTATCTTATGAAAATATTTAACAAATATTACATCAATTCTATGGTAATTTTGGCATAAGTATCATATAAAAGAATAAAATTATCATTGAATTGCATTTTAATAAACTTATAAAATAGTAAGCACAAAATAACATTTTGACATATTTTAAATAAAAATTTTTATGAACATTTTGATAATGTGACAATATGTAAGAGAAAATAATTAAGAAAAAATTTGTATCAATGAGGAATAAATTTGATTCATTAAACACCATTTATCACTTCAGGTTATAAACAAAGAAAAAAATGATAACGTTAAATCTTTAATGTGATTATCCCTACATATTTATTTCAATTGATTGTACTCATGTATTTCACGTATTACGAGTTATAAGTGGTTGTTTTAATATTAATTTTTAATTGGAAATATAATTTTAAGTCATATAAAGTTCATGCGGGTAGCATAAATTAATATTGAAATATTTTAGTTTTAAATGATCAACAAATGTGTTATGAAAAGTGATATTAAATTGATATTAAATCTAGTCGTTATCATTTCATACTAATGAATGCTTACTTAATCATTGTCATTGTGATTATGATAATGATAAAAGCAATGCTTATCAATAAATGATATTGCTCATTTTAAATTGAAAGTATAAATTTGCTCACTTTGTAGCTTAGATTTTAAGTCTCTAATAGAAGATTTTGGAATTGTAATCATTCGTTTGTTTCAGTTATAAACTAAGAAATCAATGAAGTAATATCCCTTCTTTTCATTTCTTCTATTATTATCATTCTTATTATTATTTATTATTATTATTACTGTTATTACTATTATTATTATTATTACTATTATTATTATTATTGTTATTATTATTATTACTGTTATTAATATTATTATTATTATTATTATTATTACTATTATTATTATTATTATATTATTATTATTATTATATTATTATTATTATTATTATTATTATTATTATTATTATTATTATTATTATTATTATTATTATTATTATTATTATTGCTATACCACTGATACTATAAATCATTAATATCAGTAGTAATAATTGTGATAATAATTCTTATCTTATTGATATTAATATACATTCTATTTTTTTTAAAAAAAAAATATTCATTTTTTATCTGTAATCATAAACATAACATGTCGCTTCCAATCGTTTTCAAATCCAATGACAACAAATTTAATTTTCTGAAAATTGAAATATTGACCCGTTTTCAGTAATTTCGAACCATTCTTCTCTTATGATAATCATTTCTTGTTATTAAAAAATTGTAATCAACAGGAATGTCAGTGATTTAAAATTGTAATCAGCAAGAATTTTGATGATTTAAACTATGCATTTTAGCTTTAGCAATTCATTGATAACATAAAAAGCTTATTAAATACTTTTTTTTTTTTTAGTTTTAAAAACTTCGTTTTTTTTTAAACCATTAAATTGACCTTTATAATAATTAAAAGTTTTATTATGTTGAATAGTAAGAAAAAAAAATGATTTGAATGAGAAATAAATTAATAATTAGCTTACAAATGAATTTTCCCAAATATTGTATGATGTATGTGTTACACTGTATGTTAGCAAAATTTAATTAAGTTTACCCAACAAAAGTTTACCTAACCATTTTTGATATTTTTGATTCTGATTTTTATAAATTCAGCATAATACGATGCATACATTTGAAAAGCTATTTATTTAATTACCCATTAATTTGTAAATATGTAAATGATATCTTTTAAATTGATAGTATTTCTAGAAAAATTACTAAATTTAGAACAATCTTTACTTCAAATTTTAATAAAATACTTAAAAAAAATGACCTTATTAGAAAATTAAAAGACCAATAACTTTTACTTTTACTCAATTACAATTTTTTAAATAACTTTTACTTATTGAAAGCAGGCATACTCATTAGAAAACAAAAATATTACTTAATTGTGCTACTCACATTTTCATGACCATTTTTTTTTTTTTTTTTAATGAATTCATATAATATTATTAAAAATGATTTTGTCTAAATTCTCTACTTTGAATATTTATTTCGTGTTTTTTCTTTTTTTTTTTTTTTTTTTTTTAATGAATTCATTCTTAAAATGACTTTTAAAATAGGTAACGGTTATTATTTTTCTTGTAAAGACAACGCGGTTTTTTTTTTTTTTTTTTTTTCATTTTTATGATGATGAAAATATTTTAGAAAGTTTTCTCAGTTTTTGCAATTTTTCTTTTCTTTTTTTCTTTTTTTTTTTATAGGAAAAAGAAGAAAAGAAACTTCCGAATGTAATTTATCAGCGTGCAGTTTGCCAGTTAATTGTAAAAAAAGAAAGAATGGAAATAAAAAATCTTAGTTAAATTAAATATGAATTTTTTTTCTTGTAAAGCATATAACATATTAAAATTTAAAATTTATAAAAATGAAACTATTAAAAAGTCTCGAGTAAATTTGAAATATTTTGTTGCAAATAATTTGACTAATACTTTACAAAACAAATCAAAAATAAAACGAGCACACTTTACACAGTTTACAGAAAAGAAATCAGAAAACTTAACATCAGATGAAGATTGACCGATTAACCTAAAGTAGATCGAATTTGAATTGAAACTAAATTATGATTTAAACAAAAATCATATCAAAAAATAAGTAAACTTATAGCCTACTACCGCTCCTTCTTTTGAAAATTAAAAACTGCTGAACTTATTGAAGGTAAAATTTGCATTACTCTAAATCATTTATAAAAATTAAAAAAAAAAAAAACCAGTTCGATTTAAAATAAACTAACTTGTATCAATTTAAATGATAATAAACGATGTGTTAACTCGATTTGATATCTTTAGAAATTTCCAAAGTGCTTCTTAATCACCCTATTTTTATTTTTATTCATTCTTGATACATTCAAATTTTTTTTTTTTCAAATAAATTTTGAAGTTAATAATCACAATTGATATAATCAAAGAATTTTTAATTTAATGAATTAATGCAGTGACAAAGAATATGAAAATTTTGCCGTAATAAAACAGATTTTATAATATAGAAACCAAAAAAAAAAAAACATTCATGTAGATGAAAATGTTTTTTGATTTATAAAATGAAAATTTGCAGAAAGATTTAGCAAAATATCGATAATTTTTATTTACTAATTTTTTTTCACTTTATTAATTTAATTAATTTGAAGACAATAAAATTGATTTACAACAATAAAATCAATTATTATCAAATAATATCAATAAAAAAAAAGATGATAGTAAAGTAAAACTGAAGTAAAATATTAATAAAATTACAATGATTTCCATTTTAAAGATAAAAACAAAAAAAAAAATTCGATTTTGCTTTTCTAATCAAAAATTATTATTGATTATTAAATAATGATAATTTGATTTAAATGAATAATTCATGTCTGTGCTAAGTATGTCGTTTCATTTTCTAATACAAAATAGAATTCATTAGGAATTTTGAGGTCAAAAGGGCAAAAAGTTAAAAGATTGCACTTCGTGAACTCATTACTTTTGTTGTAATTGCACTAACTGCTGCTTTGAACAACTTCCATTTTCACTGATGCGTGAAAACTTTTTTTTTTTTAAATGAAAAATCTAAATCAAAATGAAATGTTGGATTTATCAGCTGCAATAAGTGAAATATTGAATTTATCAGTTGCAATAAATGAAATGTTGAATTTATCAGTTGCAATAATTAAAATATTGTATTTGTCAGTTACAATAATTAAAATGTTGAATTTATCATTTCCAATGCTGAATTTATCAATTGCAATAATTCAGTGTTGAATTTATCAGTTGCAATAATTAAAATATTGTATTTGTCAGTTACAATAATTAAAATGTTGAATTTATCATTTCCAATGCTGAATTTATCAATAGCAATAATTCAGTGTTGAATTTATCAGTTGCAATAATTAAAATATTGTATTTGTCAGTTACAATAATTAAAATGTTGAATTTATCAGTTGAAATAATTCGGTGTTGAGTTTATCAGTTGCAATAATTAAAATATTGTATTTGTCAGTTACAATAATTAAAATGTTGAATTTATCAGTTGAAATAATTCGGTGTTGAGTTTATCAGTTGCAATAATTAAAATATTGTATTTGTCAGTTACAATAATTAAAATGTTGAATTTATCAGTTGAAATAATTCAGTGTTGAATTTATCAGTTGCAATAATTAAAATATTGTATTTGTCAGTTACAATAATTAAAATGTTGAATTTATCATTTCCAATGCTGAATTTATCAATTGCAATAATTCAGTGTTGAATTTATCAGTTGCAATAATTGAAATATTAAATTTATCAGTTGCAATAATTCATCAAAAGCTATCTTCTAATAATTCAATTAAAAATTAACACATTATTGTTTAAATTGTTATTTTTTTTCTTGTATATTATGCAAAATTCTTCACAATCATAATTTTCTTTTGGAAGATTTAATTTTAGCAAAACCAATTAGAAAATATAAATCAAAAAAATTTTTTAAATGTCTGATGAAAATACTATTGAAGCAATAAATTAACAAACTTCAGTATTTTTCTGCTCTTGCAAAAATATTTGCATAACACATGCCGTGATGTTTAAAAAATATCTACTTCCATATTTTATAATTTATAATTTGAAATTCTAAAAACTTTATAAACTTCATAAAGAAAAACTTAAACAAATAATGAAAAAAATTAAATAAATGCATTGAAAATTTCACTTCAGTTGACAGTTTCATTGATTTAAACTTCTTTATTTTAATTTAAATCTATATATTTATAAAATTATAAAAATAAGAAATAATAATGTGTTATAATGATGTTTAGTTTTGTTGAGCAAATCTTAACAAAAAGTAATTTCAAATTTTTTATCTAATTTCAAATTTTTATTTTAATAGAAAAAGAAAAAGTGGTTCATTATATTAACACTCTTTTATTCTATCATAATCTTGCAGTATCAGCTAAAATTTTATTGATAAATGGTTACAATTTTGATATCTTCCAGTGATAGATGCTTTTTTTAACATTATTTTTACATGATAACATTTCAAAACCGTGATATTTCATTTCTAGCTTTAAGTCAACTTGAATTAATTAATTAATTAGAGGAGAAAAAAGAAATAAAAAAGACGAACTTTTGAGTGATTTTTAACTTCATAACAGTTTAGATATGCATAAAATATGAATTTTTAATAGCTATTTTATCATAAATAAAATGTTCACAAAATAAATGATAGAGAGAGAAGTCATAGATTTAGAATATAAATGGAAGAGACTTTGTATACAAATGAATATTTATGTAAATTTAGCGAATATATTAGGCTCTAGAGTGTACTATCACAAACCAGAAACGAAAGTCTGATTGGAAGAGACTTTGAATAATATCCGATTAAATATAATTGAAAAATGGAATGTTGAAGATTGATATCTAACTTTGAGGGAGAGAGAGAGAGAGAGGGAAGAGGGAGAGAAGTAAGAAGATTATAATAATATGACATGGAACACTGGAACAAAGAGATATGATATTGCTTGAGATTTAATTATTTCAAATGTTATAGCTCATATGAGAAGAGGAGTTGCATGTATTAAAGTCATGGGCCGCATTTATTTCGGCTTCATTCTTGATTTTATTTGATTTGTACTGTTCGGTGGGAAATATGGGATATCGCGGGGTTTGTAGCGGACTTTAATTGTTTGAGATGTATTAATTTGAAATTTAACACAGAATTGTGATGTCTTCTGAAACATTGAAACTTCTACCGATTGGAGCTGAAGGAATTGTTGAAAAGATTATTCAGTTGGGTGCAACAAAATTTATACAAATTTCACAGCATGTATTGGAGAGAATGCCGGACACAGTTGACGTTGCAGATATATTTGACACAGAAGAACGAGAAAAGTTGCGCGAAAATTTACAAATTGATCTTCCAACAGAACTTTCTGTTTTTGTAAGTTCGTAGCTTTTCTTTTTGTTTTTTAATTTTTTTTTTTTGATGTTTGTTGATGAAGTTTACAATGGCAAATTTTTCTCTTTAGACATTTTTCTTCCATTGTTTTTAAAATTACTTCTTTATCCTCATTTTTTATTCCTTGCAGTTATTAGTTTTCCATTTTTACGAACTTTAATTTTTTTTTTTTAACTTTTTAATTCTGCTCTACACTATTGTCCTTATTACTTGTTGATGAAACTCAGATTGTTCGTGACGAATGCAAAGTTTCTTATTGTGGATAAAATGACTTTATAAACTCAACTACGATGAAGAATGATCAATTTTCAGTTGACCATAAGCGAATTATGGAAAAACATTGCATATTCTCAGCCTAAATTGCAGCCATTGCTTGAAAGTTTGAAAGAAGTAAGTTCTGTTAAGTGGGTATCTACGTTTGTCACTTTTAAGTTCGATAAAACGCTGTGCAGTATTCTTGAACTAGGGAGCAAGTTTAAACATTAATTCATCAACTTTTTTGATATTTTCAGATTGGATTTGATGATGAAATGAGGACCGCAATCGTAAAAGTTTGGTCAGAAAGCGGCGTGACGGTTTCAGATCAGTTGCGCAATATTTCATTTTCTGGACGTCCTAATGTTAGAGATGTCGGATGGACGCTACGTATGAGTGTAGCAAGGTAGTAATGAATCATTTTTTGAACATGTAGACCTTTTGACTTTTTTCTGCTTCTTCAGTTAACAAGATAATTAAATTGTTCGACCCAATTTAGTGTCGAATAACTCATTAGTTCATTAGTATATCATTTGAATACTATTTGAAATTCCTAAATCCCGTTAGCAGCTGTTATATTCGTGGTTTAAAATTTGTTATCCACAAAGAATGAAATATTGTTAAATAGTAATTCTTTTAGACAAGGTTTGAAACTGGGGACAAAAGAATTCATTCTAACTGATTAGTCTAGTTTTTTTTTTTTTTTTTCTGAAATGGCAATAACTGAAACAGAGTAATAATTAAGTGGTCTAGAAAATATCTGCTTACTAGCTATTTGTATTCATAACTCTCAATATACTGTGATGATATTCCAAGATACCGGATCTTTTTTAAACACAGTGATAGATAAGTCTTTATAAAGTAACCATCTTTGAAGTATGTGTTTTTTAGGGTTGTTCAGATTTATATTTATTTCCTTTTTTTCTTAGTAGCCATAATCCAGTGATGCGTGCTGCAGAAACAATTCTACAGTTTGATACAGATCGGGGTTCAAAAATTGTCGAGCTGAGCAGAGGTAAACTTGTAGAACTTTATATGATGCTGCAGGAGGTGCAAAAAAGTTTGGATGTTTTGCTTGAAAGGTAGCAAATATAATTAATTCATGTTTGTTTATCAAAGTTTCCTTCGGTTTTGTTCTTTAATTTTAATTAGGATTCTTCACCTAATGAATTAAATAAACTTGAATTTCATCGATATATTTATCTGATAAGTGGGAGATTATTTTCTTGAAATGAAATTTTGGATTTACTGTGATTTGTTTGTCTTTCTATTGTTATCGATATTACATCCATGCCATTGTTATATGTTAGTAATACTGTAATCCAAAAACGATAGCTGGAGTTATGGTAACAAAAGATTATATTACCCCTAGAACGATGAAAGTGACTTTTTTAAATGAAATTGCATTTCGAGTATTTTAAGACAAGTAAGACTGCTTTATCACAAAACAACAACAAAGGGAAACGAAAGTAATGGAAAGCATTAAAATTGCATTTGCCAACATTTAAAGGCTTTAGAGCCATTTTTTCAAAATCCAGCAAGCTTAATTAGTTGCAGCTGTACTAAAAAGTAATAAGAGTACTGTAGTGGTGGAACAATCGATTTAAATAGTTTAGTATCAATTCGAAATGTTGGCAGTTCTTGAAGTATAGCAAGTAAATACCTTTCATGTCGAAATTTTTCAAATATTTCATTAAAACGCACTTTGTTTGATTTATCATGAATAAATTAGTTGTAGAAGATTATTTCAGGCATTCGTTGGGAGACACAATCTGCAAAGCACTATAAAACAATCTGAAGAAGACACTGTTACAATAGTTACAATAGATGACAGCACTTCAATAGCAACTTAGGGATCATAGGTTCGAGTTTGAAATTTAATGCTACAAGTAAAGCAGTAATTTCACTACATAAAGGAAGTTAAACTTAGGGGAAGCTGAAGCTTTTTTTTTAAGCTAGATTCTTCACACGCTTTCATCTAAATAATTAGATGCTTTTTTATCGTAGTATAATCACAAATAGCGAGTTTTTTCTTTTCTAGCTTCAAGCGTTCTGGAATTTTATTTCAGATAACGGTTGCTATCAAAACATTTAACTGAAGGCAAAAACGACCAAATAGTTTTTAAAACGAACACATAACAGAAGGAGAAATTTGTTGCATTCTGCAGGCCTTTATAGGGAACAAAAACAAGTCTAAAAAGCAGAGTTTTTTTAGAAAAAAAAATTCTGAAGAAAAACCAATTTAGAAGAGTTCCACACTGCTTATTATAGTCATTTGGTTTCATTTAAGACACTTAAATATTTTTTGATATTGTTTACTTTAGCAGCGAATTGCATATTACAAAATTTAAATTGAAAAATTAAATTTGAGGAACTATTTCAAAAGATGAAGTTTCAGGCTTGCAACAATGCAAACTTTTGTAGTAAGCTATTTTAGTTAAAATATTCAAAAAAAAAAAAAAAAAACAATCGTTGAGGTCTTGGCATCAACGACCCCTACGTAATATATTCATAATCGAGGTATTCTGCATACGTATTTTTCATTGACAGAAAAATATAAGAGGAAAGAGTGATGGTTAAGACAATATACAACTTCTAACATCCACCGGAATAAAAAGAAAACCAGTAACAACTTTTATGATATCTAAATTTTTTATCAATTCTTGTAAACTTGGACTTCCTACTGAAATTTTTGAAGAAATTGAAAAAACTTCATTGCTTTAATGATTTCTCTAAATTCCAAGAATAGAGCAAGGAACTTTACTTTATTTTACAGTCATTTGAAGATGAAAAATGAGTCTACTAGGCGATATATAAAAATAAGATTTCCAAGAAGAATAGATTTATAATTATTGTTATTTATTACTATCAATTATTATTATTATTATTCATTATAAAGAGAAAAGGATGCAAAAGATCATATAAGAACAGAAAGTTGGATTTGAAAGATTAGAAAATTAGAAAAGAAACCTTATAGTTATATTAAAATTACAATAATTGTTATGAACATGAAAAAAAGCCTATGCAGAAATGAAAGAATGTTGAAATTATATGAGACCCCGATTTGGAATACATTATTGGAATCAATCAGCATTTAAGGCACCATGTAACGCTGTGGACCGTTGTGGCGAAGACCAAAAGAAATAAAATAGCACATCTATGATATGATCTCTTTCTTTTACGGGAATATCGTATTCAGCAAAAAAAAAAAAATAAAATAAATTTCTAGAGATAATTAAATACCGAAAAAGCTAGAATAATTTCTGATAAAGCTTGATGTATGCTAAGAAGTGTACTAGTAAAATAATGATTACATTACGGTTCCAAATACTCACATGCATCTTTCTATAAAGGACGCGCATTTGAGACTTTTTATACTCATTTAAAATTAAAAGACTAAATTTTCGTAAATACAAAAACTATATTAAACAAATTCAATTATAAAGGCTTAATGACAAGGCTTGAATCTTTTCTAAAGTAATACAAAATTAAAAGCTACTATTTTAGTGTACGTTTTAAACGAGACCTATATTAATCTATTTAAGTTTATCTTTATTTCTACATAAAGGTAAAAATCCTAATTGTGATGCTTATTTATCAGTCACTTAAATTACTTAGCTTCATTACCTCTTTTACTGAAATTTATAATACCAATGAAACATTAAAATATGTTCAACCATGTTGAAAAGCACTATCATAGAAAAAGATGGCAAATAGCAGTAAGCAAAATAAGAATAAATTTCATCTTTTTTAGTCCATAATTCGGAACATACAACTTTAGGGAAAAACTTTCAAACATCTAGAAAAATCTTGTATAATCGATTAGATAAATAATTTAGCAATAATCAAATGGAAACTATTGGAAAAAATTCGAGATTATTAAACGATTAGAAATTAATGGTCAAAAATAAAGATTTGTTCTGAAAGAAAGAGAAAGTAATATTTACAGCTTGCTGAACTGCTGTAAAAATGTAATTACAGAACGATTGAAATGATTAACAATTTCTGAAAAAAATGATAACGGTAAAAGTTTTAAGCAATAAGCTAATAAGAAATTGACGTATAATATAATATGCACTCTATATCTATAGCTTTTTTTTTTGCAGCTAAGTTAAAAATTAAGTTAAATTAAATTAAATTAAAATATATACCTTATTTCAACACGGTATATGCAAAGAATGAAAAATGAAAGAATAATAATTTAGTAAAGAGATTAAATCAACTTCATCATATTTCAATGATTGAATAATTTTGAAACTATCTTTTAAAACATGGAATTTCTTTTCATATAAATATTATAAATAACATCCAAAAACATCTTCCTTGTTCATATTTCGACAAATCGGCAAGCATAATAATGACAATGAAGCAAATTTAAAATTTCTACAAATTTAACTAAGAAAATATATACTTCATTAAAAACAAAATATTGGACAATCAGATGCCTTTTTATAGAAGAAAGTAATGAAATCAATAGTTAATTGATCTCCAAATCAAAAAAGAAAAGAAAAGAAAGGACAATCTACTTATATTACAAATCAATGCTACAAGCTTTTTTGCGCTCAAAATATGGCTATCAACGTTGAAAAAAAAAAAAAAAAAAAAAAAAAAGGAATAAAAGAATCAAGAAATATAAAATGGATTCAAATCCAAAAATAAATTTCTTCAAAAAAAAAAGAATCTTAATTCCTCAAAAAAAGAAACTCAAGTTACGGCGTACAAATAACTATTAATTTTATAAATCTGCAATCAATTTGAGGCGGACTTTTTTTTTAGCGCAAATGCAGGAATACTATATTACATGCAACACCAAATATCACTGAACTAACCACAGTATTGTTATACCGTAGGAAAGGAAAATCCAACGGCCATTATTTGAATTCACCCCCAATTCACTTTCCACGCTCTGCCAAAAACTGAAAAATTCCCTTTTCAGTATTTCATTGGTTTCGAAAATTCAAAAATTTCTATCCATAAAGTCTTTTTTCAAAAATACAGAGGAAATCAAAACTCCATAACATTTGTCATTCTTAAGCCAAAACATCCGTTTCATCATTCTGTTTTATTTATCTCTGATTGCAAAATAGCTCACAGTTGGAAGTCTAATTGACAGGTTTTTTTTTTTTTTTTTCCGATTCATTCATCCAATTTTCCAAATCTCTCAATATGAACTTTTCCCCAAAATCATTTCTTCCGAATATGGTAACTTAGATTATACCCGACTTAGCAGATAAGATGGTAGCAACATCAAAGGTCAAAGGGGACAACTGTGAGCTATGTAAAAGATTTAGCAATATATCGTATAAATAGAACAGTTAAACCACAGTTCTCTAAAATTTTATACAGAAGCCAAATTGGCAAAAATGAATCATTTAAATTCTTCGTACTGTAATTAAATATCTTATGAGCATTACAAAATTCCCTACAAATAAAGGAATATCAACTTCAGATTTCTCTACAAACATAGGAATATCACACTTCAGAGAAATTGAAAATATACATAAAAACAAATCGGCATACATTCATTTACATTTTTATAAAAAGCCTAATAAAATCAGCGACGAAATTGGGACTTACGAAAATCAACTAAAGAAATAGTGAAAATAGTGGATGCAACTTTAATACTATTGAAATTCTAAAGTAGTGAAATGAAAGTAATGGCATGAGAAAAGGAAAAATAGTTAAGCTAAAAAGAACTAAAAAGAAAAAACACTTTTTTAGAGAAATCAAAGTTTAAAACTTGGGTACAAAAATGAACAATGCTGTAGTATTTGAAATAAGCCAGCTCTATATTACTGCAATTTTTCCATCAAAATCCATAAAAAGCAAATAACCACCACAAAAAAAAAAAGTAGTAAATAATAAAAAATAAAAATTCACAAAAAATGACGAAAAAAACGAAACAACAAATTAGCATTTAGCAATACAAACCGAAGGAAAAGAAGATCCAGGTAATGATTAAGAATTTTTTTTCTTTTTTCTCAATATTAAGTTTGTGGTGGTTGTTGTTGTTGCTGTTGTAGACCAAGTGCATTGAATAAACGTGATTTTAAACCAGATGATGATTGTGATTGAGTCATACCACGATGTATTTGTGAAGCAGTAGCAGTAGTAGTAGTAGGTGACATTAACGAATCATCCGCATATGTACTAGTAGCTGTTAATGCTGACTGATGACCAGACACAGGCGGTTCATGCTGCAAATAATCAAAAACTATACACTACATTCACTTGAACAAACAATCATTAAGTTTTCTTTTTTTCCTTCTATGAAGAAAAAAGAAACTTGCAACAAGATAAAACCAAATAGAGAGAAAGAAAAAAAAAAAAACATTAACAACACAACAATCAACAAAAATAAGAAATATTACGATTGATATGCTCGATTTCTCTTACTACTATTCCACAAAAATAGTAGTAACTGCAAATTTTGAAGAATAAAGAACGATGACAGAAATGAGCATGATAGGAGAATCTTTCAAATGTACCCGAGTACAGGACAACACCACGAAACAAAATTTATGCATGCAAGAGGTGAAAATTTGAAAAAGGAAGCAACTTACAGAAATCGTAAATTTACAGACCCCTTTCGTTATCAAAAGGAAAAATTGCATATATATACTAAGGTTGTAACGTCAAGAATGAAGCAGGAAGTACATCCTTTTCTACACTACCAGAATTTCGAGCATGAGAAAAAAGCGTTATAAGGATTTGGTATCAATTTGAAGTGTTGTCGACTGTACTTTACTACCACCAGTACAGAGTAATAAATTGCTCAAATCAGAGTTTTCTAAATTAACTCCACTTTTTTGCAATATTATGGTACTGAACACCAAAACACAAAAAACATCAAATGCGACAAAAGCTTGTGCATATCATAAGACAATATTTATAAACACAAGCGGTTTGAACAAACCTCAACACCTTCATGAGGTGGTGATAAATCAGTTGTATGTTCGGCAATCAAGCGAGCTACTTTCGCTTGATGAGCTGCATCCAAGCACTACAAAGCTTGACAAACAATGCCCATTTTTAAATCGCATTTCAAAGAGTTAAAATTTCAACCGAGAAAGGTAAAAGTTGCTAAGATGAAGATAAAAATGAGATAACTTAAAATTGTTAAAGCTATCGTCAACAATCCCACAGTCAGCTGATGCATAAAATTTCTACAACAAGGTTTAAAATATGAAGAATAATTGAAATGCAATTTGTCACAGCAACTAAACGCTTCTAAATAATCCAACAATCAAAATAAAACTAATAATATTACCTGTTCTCAGTTAATGTTTGAACTCTCTTTAGGAAATGAAACTAAAAATAAACAATAGCTTACCTGCTTCTTTGCTCGCAATGCAGCATCTTCAAGAGTTTCCGCTGCTTCGTACTTCCCTTGACGTCTGTACAATGCTCCAAGATTCTTTAACGTGGTGGTTACTGTTGGACTACAAGAAAATCTATAGGTTCTGAATTTGAAAAAAAAATAAACAAGTAATCGAAAATAAGCAATGCCACAATATTTTTAAATCATAATTTGCAAAACAAGATGAACTTTTTGGATAAAAAACATACTTCATCTGTTTCCCACGAAAAAAAACATAAAGAATGGAAGTGATAAGCTCAAGACTTCAATACTTCACAAATCACCTGTCAACTTTTGCAGCTTTGTGCCAACCACCATATTCTTGATACGAGCTTGTATCACCTCCTTTATGTTTATTCTCTTCACGATCTTCAGCAATTTGCCAAATTGGCTTATTGTCATCCGCTACTTTCCCAAATTCACGTTCATGAGCACGAGTTAAGATCTGTTTGTAGAGGATTTCAGCATCCTGAAAATTCACTGAATTGAAAATTATCATCAGAAGAAACATGACCAAAAGTTTTAAGTAAAGATATCACTGAAGAAAGATAAAGACTGATCCCAAATATACAAAAACTTTAAACTGGAAGGCAAAATATAAACAAATTTGTGTGATATTCTATATTCAAGATGTATGTTTATCTACTATAAAAATACATATTGCCAGCACACTACAATGTGCCGATTGTAAAAAATATACCATCAGTATTAAAGAACGACTTAATATGTTATGCAAATTTTAATCAACTAAAAAATAACTCTGTAGTTGTTCGCAACGAGAAAGAATTTAACTATTAATTCCATTTAGCATGAATGCTTCAAAATATTAAGACTATGATGAATACAAGGTATTGCAATGAATAACGTGAATCTGATATATAATAAGCAGAAGAAAAGGCAAAAAGAAAACAGCAACGAGTTCTATGTTTTTGTGAAGAGAAAAAATGAAGGAAACATTAAGTTACATTTTCAGAATATGAAATATATAAGTTTTGAAGGTGAGTGGTAGAAAATTAAATTTCGCTGATAACAGCAATTTAAAAAATTACTTTAAAAAAAGGAAAAAAAAAACTAGAAGAAGCATTAAGGCTATTGATAACCATATACTCGGATAAATAAGTACAAAATTTTTTTCAAATTTCTAGAGACTAAATCAGGAGCAACTGGATTCTTTCATTCTAACATGTTTTCTACACAGAAAAAAAGAGAAAAGCTAGCAAAATGACAAAGTATAGACACATTGATTCCAAGAATGAATGATTAGTCCAAAAAATAAACATATCTAATCATAAACATATTAATATGTAATCAGTTAACGATAAATAAATTTACCTTAAGCAATGAAGATGTGAATTCAGTAAGATTAATGATAAAGTTGTGATAAAGTTTTAACACTACTATCAGCAAAACAACGTAGACATTACTTCTGCGAGCAAAATTTCTTCATCACTAATACTAATGATAACCGCAAAAAAAAGCGGTATGCATTTACCCCATAAACTTATATCACTTCAAATATAATTTGAAAAGGAGATACCTTATATTTCCCTTGCTTCAAATAAGCTGATGAAAGGTTGTTTTTCGTTTTTGCTACATTCGGATCATCGGGACCTAATTTTGTTTCATAGATTTCGAGTGCACGTTTGTAAAACTTTTCGACTTCATCATATTTACCCTGGTTTTGACAAAGCAAAGCAAGATTATTTAATTGCTTAGCAACATCTGGATGATCGGCGCCCAGCACCTAAAAAAAGTATTCGTAATGGACAATTACCAGTACTTCTAAAAGGTACATTTATAGCTTAATAATAGCAAAATGAACTTAAATACTTAAATGCTTAAATAACAAATGACACTTAAATGATGTCGTCCTTCATCACTGAATAATTTACTAGCCACATCCTGGCATTTCGCAAAAAGGTTCTACATTTATGATGAAATCTTAGATTTTTTCGAAAAAAAAAAAAAAAAATTTGAAATCCCAATTACAAAACGAACATTTTCTCGGATTTCCAAAGCTCTCTTACAAAGTGGTTCTGCATCCTTATATTTACCCCGTTTCCCATATAACACTGCCAGATTATTGAGTGTTGCCGCAACAGCGGGATGATTTTCACCAAGACATTTTTCACGTATATGTAATGCTTCGTTTAATAAGTTAGCTGCTTCCTTATACTTGTTTTGATCACTAAAAAAGAAAAATATTGATATTTCTCATGATATCTTTTGCGAAATAATCTAAGTCAATCTGGGAAAACAATTCAAACGTTTTTATTTCACAAATAACTTTAATGGAAATAACTATTTTAACCAAAACCATATTAATAGTCAATAACATCGTGTCTTTTGCTAATTAAAAGAATTACCGGTAAACAAGAGCTAGAATATTAAGCATAGTTGCGACATCTGGATGATCGTGCCCACTAGTCTTCTCTAAATCTTCCAGAGCTTGCTTACAAAGAGGTACTGCTACTTCATACCGTCCTTGTGATGCATATTGTATTACCTATAAAATTATTAGCAAATCAATAGCTCAATGATCATTTCGAAAAACTGTTGGAATTAATTTAAAAAATATCTACCAAATTGTGCAGAGTTCGAAGACGAGCTGGAATTTCATAGCCAGCAGATGCACTTGCTGCCATCGAATGAGCAGGTGTGGGATGTGCAAATTGCCCAGACATGTGTCCTATAACTCAACTTATTCTATCGCTGTTCTATTCATTAACTAAATTATAACAGTACAGCTTATAAACAATAGTAATAAAATGTATAACTGGAAATCAGATTAAGACATAATTTTAGTAAGTTTCTAATGCATACAGAGTATAACTAAGTATTCATAAGGAATGTGTGAAAAAATAATGATAAAGCTTGATAACTAAATGGATTGATTAGTAACGAAAGCAAATAACAAAAATGTGCATTACCACTTATTTCCTCGTCTTCTTCTGGACCAAAACCTAAATCCTGAAGAGTGTTGTCATTACGATTGTCGTTCTGATCCATGGTTTTGTCATTTTCCTGAATTCATCTAACAATTTAGATTATATTTTTAACATTAAACACAGATTCAAGGATTTTCTAACTAAGAAACATTTTAAAAGCAAAATTTTGCTAAATGCTTAACATTGTGCAGTTTTTAAAATTTCCAATTCCTTGCATTACTGAATACCGCATTATCAGCAAAATTACTTATCAACTTGATTTCTTAGCTATTTATCTAAAGAAATAATTGCTTACAAACGACTATTATATTAACAGATTTTTATATATCGAACATATAACATGCTTTTCTAATACTTATTTATAGAAGACTCAATATTGCTGCGTAAATTATAAGAAACCAAAATGCAGTAACCTGTTGGTCATCATATTTCTTGATCGAATTCATATATTCTAAGTGCTTTTTTTCCTCTTCCAATTGTGCTACTTGCTGTAATTTAATTATTGTTAAAAATTTGCCAGAGAAAAGCTCAAAAATTAGAAAAAATCGTAAAAAAGGAATTTTTTTTTTTTCGTCCTTTAATATCAATTAATATCAGTCAACAAACCTGTCCAGTGGCTTGCAGCTTTTGCTGCGTTGAATTTAATTCATCTCGAAGCCATGCATTCTCTTGACAAAGTCTTCGTACTTGCGCTTTCAACTTCTGTTTCTCGGCTTCTACTGTCTGTAGATGACCAGCTAATGCCATCATAACCTAAATTATTTTTAATAAAATTAAACCCGAACTTTTACTGACTTACTCTGCTGATAGATATAAAAAATAAAAAAGAAAAATATTATTTTTTGTTAAAAAAAAAGAAAAAAAAAAAACTAAATTCTAACCTGAGCTTCTTCGATGCCTAAGCGTAACATTTCCAAATTTCTGTCCACAATATGTGTCTTTTCCTCAATAAGTGCCGATTCATCAGCATGCAATCCTTGAATACTACTCACCAATGTACCCTGTAATGCTAACTATTGTTTAGAAAAGTAAACGAATTCTAAGATCGCTTTTTCAGAAAATCATCGGAATATTTGTCTATTTACCTTGATCGATTCATGCTCATCCTTCAGTGCTTCCAAACCCTGTAAAACTGTACGTGTACTTTGTAAGATCTCTTCCTGTGATAATGCTGTCATTCTGCCGATATCCTCTATTTTTTTCCTAAAAATATCATAACCAAATTAAAAAAAAAAATTTTTTTTTTTAAATCTTTGAAGATATTTTTCAAATTGTAAAGAAGGTGAAAAATGTTCAAAAACGTCGCTATTTATAAAATCTGTGGTCATGGATACCTCAACAAAAGGAGATGATGCAATCAATGCGTAAAGTGAATGAGAAAACCTATTAAAGAGGTAGACACACGACATCACTTAAAATGTTTGTTAGGTATGTGTGTGACAGAGAAATGGAAAAAAATCGAAACGAGTATGTCATTTTGTTGGTGACAGATGAAAAATACGCACAGTAACCCTTCATCCTTCTCCTTTTCGCATCAGCTAAAGTATTCATACTTCCACCGCAAATGTCTCTATTCCCACTTTTTTCACCTACACTAAACTCAAAGAATATGCCTAATGGAGTAAAAGTAATGGAAGAAAAAAATAATAAAACTGAAGAAGTCGCACCTGGGAGATCGAAATATCATATAGAATGTTGCACATAAATATAAGATGCATATAAATGTTGCTGGTTTAATCAAAAAACCAAACTTGTGGTCAAAAGAGAGAGAGAGAGAAAAAGGAAAAGCACGATGGATGTAAGTGAATCAATGAATGTTTGGAATGCCAATGTTTAAGGCAATCAATTTAGTGAAAGCAAATAAGCCTAGGACAAAACTGTTCATGCCTGCCCAACAATTTTCTCCCTAGAGAATTCAATAATAGAAAGAAGGAAAGGGGGTTTGTTTATTATACATTTGCTCCAAAGACAAATCAAACTAAGATAAACACTATCTAGAAATAAAAATTGAAGAATAAATTTAACAAATCTAATCACTCATAAAAAAACAATTAGAACAGATGGAAGTGACATCAGAATCTAATTCTCACAAAATGTCAACGAATTCTCTTCATTCCAACATTATCCACAACTCTAATGCCTACCGATAGACAATAGAAAGTTAATTTTGAAAAAAAAAAAAACAGAATGTGGAAATTAAAGGGAATGCATAATGTAAAATAAAATGCATAGTGTCAAGGACACATTTTACAATAGAAAACAGCATCTGTCCATTCATTTGAACTTAAACTTCTCAAATTATTTCATCCTTGAATAAGTTTAATAAATAAAAGTAGTAATGGAGAGAAAAAAAAATCAAAATACCAATTTCAAAAAAAAAAAAAAAAATGTGTATATATATCATTTATTTATTATTAAAGAATATACTTTCATGTTTTTCAATTTTTTTTCTTCTTTCTACATTTTCATTCAAACCGAATATCTAACAAGAAGTGTTAAGTATAAAAATGTTAACATTTCAAAGTAGAAATTTACAATATTAAAATTTAGATACATATTTTACACCAACATTCAACTGGAACTGAATTTAAATGCCATCAAAATGTCATCATAAACTGTAATATCTCAGAGTTATGTGGCATACATTAACAATGCAACATGCAATAAAGAGATCTCAGTGTAAATTTACAAATGTAATTTTGTATAAATTATTTTTTTAATTTTCGGAATTTTTTTATCTGAAATTCTGATATCTGAAATTTTTAAAAATTTTTAATTGCCCTTCATTTTTCTTCTTTCAATCTATAATTTATTTAAAACTTACAATCGATAAGCATTCAATGTGGACATATTTGTTGAAGATTAAAAATATTGAATTGCTCCAAAATTACTTCCAAATGTGATAGTAAAATAAAGTAATGAAACAGTGGAAAGAAGATGAAATTGTGACGATTTGTCGATATAGAAATATTCCTGAAATTTTAAAAAAATAAAAATTTCATATAACAATGTTGAAATTATTTAAATAAATAAATAAATGTATAAATAATGTAATGAAATGAATATGATAACTGATAATAGATGATAAATGGATGAAATGATAACATTGTTTACTAAAATAAATTTGATTTATTCGGAAGCTATTAGCATATTATGAGAAATTATGAAGAGGAAGCTGAAATTATATTTGATTAAGATTAAAGCAAAAATCTTGTTGAACATGAAATACAGCTATTTGAATAACTTTTTCTTCTTTTTCTGGGAAGGAGAAAATTGGAGGATGATAGTAATATTCAGATAGCAATTTTTGATAAAAAAAATTTTGGAAAATATTAAATCTATTAGAAAGCACTTTCGATATTATTAATGAATACTGAACAATAATAATTCTTTTTTCTATGGGAAACTGATAAAGTAAAGAAATGATGTTGCTTTAATATAACTCAAAATGTATGATAATTAATCTGCAATTTTTAATTTATACAAAGGAAGGAGAGAGAGAGAGAGAGAGAGAGAGAGAGAGGAGGTTAATCTTTATTTAGAGCTGAATTATAAATTCATTGTTACCATTCGCTTTTCAATATTATTGTTAAAAGGATATGATAATTAGAAATAATCGCAGATATTATTGATAAAAAAAAAAAAAAAAAAAAAGAAGTGAAATTTATTAGACTGAATAGTGACAATAATAAATTACATAAATATTTAGGAAAAGTAATAGATAAAAGTGAAATTGAATTTAAAATTCTCAAATGAATGCTTTATAGCTTCAACAATTATATGTCATTTCGGTTATTGAACATTTTGTTTGTTTCAAATTAAGTACCTATATTATATTTCTCAAAAAAAAAAGAAAAAAAAAAGTAGATACATTAATTTGTAGTAGACAAAATAAGAGAATATAAAAGAATAAAATAGCTATCATTTGAAAGAAAAGCGCATTTTAAATACGATCTATCAGTTGATATTCTCAAGAGTGATAAAAAAAAAAAGATGAAAATGTGAAGGCAATAATTTGTCTTTCTATTTTCTTCCTTAACAAGTTAGCATTTGCAAAATTTTTTTTTTTTAGTCCAATAAATATTTCAATTTCATCAATGATGAAATTGTTCAAAAAGTTATATCAAATTTGTATAAAATAAAGGTTGAAATGATAATTATTATCTTTCAATTATTTTCAATATACTACAATTAAAAAAAAAACTCTTTAAATTCACATAATTCATATAAGAATTTAGCTTTGAAATCTCAATAAAAAAGTTATTTAAAAAAAAAAAAATGATAGTAAATAACTGAAATAAAAAGTAAAAAATAAAAATAAAAAAATCAGGAAATGATGGAATAAGAGAGGATGTGATATATTAGACAATGTTGTGAATAACAGCAATCAGTTAAGTAAATAAACTAATGATATTTAACAATCCCATAAGCAACTAATATTTTTTTTTCAAATATATTTCTAAATTTGTTTTTCTTTTCGTTTTTTTTTTAAAGAAAAAAGACTTTTTATTGAAAATTTTCAATTAAATGCTTGATATTAAAATTTTATGAGCGTAGATAATTAAATACAATAATTGCTTTCTTTTTTTTTAAGAAAAAAAAAGAATATAAAAGAAATTAACAATAATGAAAAATTAGCTTTTTTTTTGTTTTTTTTTTTTAAATTATTTTGTAAAATAAAAGCATTTCCTATCATTCAATTATTTCACAAACAATCTAATCTTCTTCGTCTATTTATATTTTATTTATTTATTTTTTTTATTCTTTAAGTTTCTTCTCTAAAAAAAGAAAAAAAAAGAATTTTAAACTTATATCATAAATGATTAAATATAATTCATAGAGAATAAAATACATTTTTGAGATAAATCACTTCATAAAATACCCATCTAAATCAGAATTATTCATAAGTTATATTTTATTAATTAATTGCATCTATTATATGAATTAAAATTTTGCAAAATAAATTTAAAATGCAAAAATTGAAATGAATTGAAAAAAAAAAAAAGACGAAATTGTTACTTATTCCAAAGAGAAATCATTTCATTATTTATTGCACTGCTAGCAATAACATCAGCAAGAAGCTGCAATATCTAACATCAAGATATCATTTTCAAAGTCATGAGGTGTGTGTATGTGTATGTATATGTGTGTATGCATGGTGTATGTGCATGTGTGTGTGTGTGTGTATGTATGTGTGTGTTGTGTATGTGTGCATGTGTATATGTGTATGTGATGTTTATGTGTATGTGCATGTGTGTGCATATTTGTGTGTGTGTTATGTGTATGTTTGCGCATTTGTGTGTGTGTCCTAAAGACGAAAAAAAAACATTTTTTTTTGGATTATATTTAAATTCAGTGCAGTCAGTCCATCCAAATTCCATCTATGTTTTTTTTTTTTTTTTTTTTTAAGAAAAAATCAATTTTCATTTCTAAGCATACATACATTCATCGTTATATAAAAATATTTATTCTTATTGAAATATTATTATTTCAATTTTGTTATGTAAATAAAATTTTCAATTCTTTTTTTTTTATTTAAATTTGAAATTTATTTATTCATTGAAATGATTCATTTGAATAATATGAAATAAAAATTTAGTGAGCGAAGAATTCTTCATTCAATGATTGCATTTTGTTTTTGTTTTCAACTAAATTATTTTAATAATTAAATAGTAGATGAACAATTGTAAACATTTTTTTTTTAAAGTTGTCTTATTTATTAAAATTTGAACTGTTATTTACACTTATTAACTGAAATTTAATTAACTTAAGGAAAGGAAAAAAAAATTAATAATATTAAAAGTGTCTCCTGATGAAGTAAATTATTACAAATGTAATTTTTTTTTAAAAAAATGATACAAAAATGGTTAATTTGAAGAGGAAAATTACTAATTAATAATGCAAAATTATTAGTTAGTATGATTGAGAAATATACTAGCAAATGTATATTAATTAAAATTTTAATCTTATCCTTATGTTATCATTGATATTTTGATGCTAAAAGTTTTAATTAACAAAGCAAAAAAAAAATTTTTTTTATCAATTCTTTTCAAATAATTGAGTGAATTTTACAGATCTGTGATCTACTGAAATGAGATGAGATGACAAAAATTATGATAGGGTTAGGTTTTTTCTTTTTTTTTTTTTGATTACTCAAAATCTTTTTTTTTTTAATATT